AAAAAAAAAGGATTTCTTAAAGGTGACTGAAAAACGAATGAGAATAAATACAGGAAAAATCATCAGGCTTCAAAGAAAGGGCTCCTTTCTGCAGCTCGTCATCCCACTGACCCACAAGGTGGCAAAAGTGTCACAAGCTGCAGAAATTAAAAGGTATTACAGGGATGAACTTGTCCCAGCTGATAGAGATTGCAGAAATTCGTTTCATGACAGAGAGGACAAAAAATGGAAGTTTAAGCAGAAGCAGGAGCTTTTCAAAAGAATACCCTATGTGGGTCTGTCTGGAAATTTACAGGTTTTAAAGGGACAAGCAGCCACAAAAGGGGAAATAACTAACACCTCTGCTTGCTTCCCAGATGGAACTCAACAAAATGCTAATAATGATTTTTTTGTTTTGTTTTGTTTATATGCCTGTTGAATTGTGTAATACAGGATTAGATCTGCTTGTGGCTTACAGAGTCACTCTTGTGCTGGGGGCGATGAGAAATCTACCTCAGTTCCCACAGAGGAAACAGTTGGTCTTGTACTAGAAAAAGCTGACATAAATTTAAAAGAAATAACTATTGTACCAAGTGCAGTTGCTGGTGATTGTCGAGATGAGATACAAGTTTTTGCATGTGCCATGGATCTCTGGATCTTTAAAAAGGGAGGAAAAAAGTCTATATAAATGATACTATTAACCTAAATTATAGTAAGTCTTACAGAGAGAGATCACAGGACAACTTAGAAAAAGGTGTGAGTATGTGACAATGTGTGTGTGTGCACGTGACTAAGCTGAAAGCTATGTTAAGGGACATAAAAGTTGCTGGTATTCTAGACAGAACAAAATATAAAAATATATTACTTACAGGTAAAAGGGTTTTATTTTTTCCAAATTCTTTTTATAAGAGATCTCTGCTACTTGACCCAACCAAAAAAAAAGAGGAGAAAATAAAGTTCTGACTACTTATAATTACAAGCTTATAATTCAATATGGCCAAAACTATATTTGAATGCACTCTAAGTTTATAAGTAAATTGTCTGTGTATGTGTTTTTTTTGTTTGCCTCTCTGTAGGATCTGTAAACACCTGTTTTATTTGAGCTCAATGAATTTCTTTTTTTGTATTTTTTTGATTTTTGAGGTAATTGTCTGTAATCTAATTTGGCTTATATGTAAATATTATCTGAATTAAAGATTTGCTTCTACCACGTTGCTGGCTGGTCAAAATTACGTTAAAATTGGTTTTATAAATATGTAAACATTGTTTTATGTATTATGATTTGAGAGTCTCTCATTGTACAAAAACTGACATGTCAAATTCTGACTGGATGTTCATAGAACATAAAAAAATGGGTTAAGATAATTAAATAAAAATCCTTTAGGTGGAGAGAGATTATTGGACAGGACTCCAATTGATGAATAAAAAAGCAGCTGCCTAAAATAACATAAACCAGTTTTATTCATTAATAAGGAGCCCCAATAATCTCCATAGCCTTATGGGAGACACAGTGATAAATATTCTTCAAAATATATTATTGTGATATGTTTATATTGGTCATTGTCAGAAGATTAAAAAAAATAAGACAATAAGGTTTTCTGGTTAAAAGATGCTTTTGGTACCAAACTAAATTAAAAAAAAAATAATGACAACTTGTTATTGCTAATTTCATGGTATATTAAATGTACTTGTGCCTTCAAAATGTACAGTATTCTAAACTGTAAAACTGGAACTGTTTATATAATGTTGGAATCTGCCTTTTCTCTTGTGCTCCAGATATTTGTAATAAGAGGTTCATGGGTCATCATTCAAATAATTTTTTAACAAAACCTTATGAGATGTATATGCCACTACATTTAGAGAGGCTTAGATATTAAACAGCCCAGACAATGTTACAAATTTCTTAAGTGACATCCTGTTTGAAGACAAGTTAGATAGAAACTCCATATGTATTAGGTACGGATGATGACTAAAAGGGCTATTCTATTGTGCTACAAAAATGTCATCACACATTATATAACAACACTATGCATGATTTTTGATTTCGTTTTCTTTGTAAAACTATGTAATTGTTGTCTGTTAATGTTCCACAGAGATTCAACTACTAGAACATTCATGATTGGTAAGAAGTAATAGTTCTCTGGTTGTACTTTATATTTCAAGGTGCTTGCAATGTAATGTCATTAACATTTTCTGCTGGATGTTTAACAACTGAGGTTTGGAGACCAAAAATTGGAGAGATAAATTGGGCTAAGAGGCCACCAATATTTTGGCCAAAGCCCTCCATGGTCAAATAGGACTCAGGACATAAGAGAACCTCTGCTGCCACATCATGCAACTTGGTTGAGTCCCTGATTTTCTGATCAAGGAGATTATGAGACCACAGAGGAAAATGATTATACAGTATAATGTGTCTAAGGAGAGTCACCAGGAGAAAAAAAGTCTCCCAAGCTTTCAAAGAAAGCAACTTGGTCAAGCAATGGCTGTGACTCATCCAAATGGCTGGCACTGACAGAAGTACTAAGAGGCGCTGCATGTGGTTCCAAGGTAAATCCTGAGGACAGTTAACTGACCTTGATAAAAAAAAAATAATTTTAATTAACACAGGTCTCACTTTAACTTGGTCTTGAGAAACCAACAAAAAAATATACCTACAAGATATTAGATAAATGATAAATGATAATAATAATAATAATAAGGTGCTGCAGTTCAATTAATAACTTGGGATAAGGATATATTTATATATTGACAGGTTATAAACCATCATTGTGGATGCCATCCTGGAACGTGGTGCCATAAAAAGAGAGATCTTCAAACCCATGGTAAAGTCTGCTGCCAACAGACCTGTCATGGATTCTACAATGGACTGATTCTATTAACATACTTGTGTCTCCTACTTTTGTCCTGAAAATGCTAGTTGTACTTCAGCTACTACAGCAGAAAAGACCTCTGGCCTGACAAAACAAAGAGAACATCTCTACAGCTACACCCTTGAGGACACTCAGATGGACTCTATTGGACCTAGCCAGGCCATACTTGCTTCCCTACACCTTCCTTGTGCCCAACAAGCTGTGGCGTTCATTGTTCCAATATGTAAGATGAAAAACCCCCATTTTGGAGCCCAGGCCAAAGTCATATGACACACTTTGTATTTCTTAGAAAAAAATATGTCATAGAGGGGGGAATGTGGGGGATGATGATTCTTAGCATATCCTTTTAAGATAGAATAATTCTAGTCTTAATGCAAGCCTCAAAATGTGTCTTGAGAAACATCCCGGATGGTTGTAAAGAGTTAACTTTACAGTCCTGACTTAGCCCTGGAATGCTTCTCCAAAGACAAAGAACACCAGGGCCCAGATAACCACCTATGACCCTGCCTGGGTTGTTTCGTACCTTCCCTGGCCCTAGATAGACATTGTAACCATAAAGAAAATGTATGGTTATCTGAAGAGAGACATATAGAACAGAATACAGAAAGTATATATCATTGTGGTTGGACTCATGACCGGAGCCTGACCAGGTTAGGTGGCACAAGGAAAACAACATGTGGCCAGGGCTACAACATTCCAATCTGTTACCATGGAAAGCAATAATGTTTATAAGCTAAGAATAAAGGCAGTCCATACTCACTTCCCTGACTTGGAAGTCGGGATGAGAGGTGACTGGTCTAAATTAAAACTGTCTGTTCTCCTTGGTCTCTTGTGGAATACAACCCAAATTTTTGCAGTAACAAGGAAAGGGAGATATATTGTGCCTGCCAGTTTCTGTGGATTCAGACCATGATTATTTGGCTCCAAGGAAGAAATGGCATGGTGGATGTGTGCAGCAGAGCTGTTCAACTCAAAAAGAGAAGCGAGGAGCCAGGGACATGAATACACCCTTCTACCTCATTACACTTAGTGCCCGCCCCTTCTAATGAGTCTGCAACTTTGAACGTGAGAGTTTTGGGGCACATTTTAGATCCTAACCAAAATAAATATTAACCAAACTATTTACTGATGCTGAATCCCAAAAACCCTGCTCCCCACCTTCTGCTCCTTCTCCTTGTTTCCTCCCATTCCTACTCACATCTCAGAGAAATTGTGAGATTTTCATTTAGTTCACTACTCTCCCCACATCCAAGGCTCTCAACAATAAGTCAAATTTGGACAATTGTTTATTTCAACTTCCTTCACTTTATTCATCCTGAATGTAATTTGAACATACATTGGCCAAATACTGTAAGAGAAACATACAAAGAGCTGACATTCCACAGATTTTACTGTGGAGTATCTCTCCCAGCCCCAGGACATTGTGCCTCGTCTCTGTATACAATGGTGATAACATGACAATAACCAGAGGGACTAACAGATTAATAAGAAATTCTGCTTTCACTGAAGATCTGTGCGAGGCCAGGACTCATCCCTGTTGGGTATGCAGATATACCAGAGTGCCCTGAGAAATGCTTTGTGTTTTCTGATTGCGATAGTTCTCTACATGATCAAAGCTATTCTAGTCTAGGTATAAGGCCCACTAATAAATGACACCATTTCTGTAGCCCTAGTTAAATTAAAACATTGAGTATATATCATCAGACTCATGATTAAGGGCCTTCACCTTAAGAGAAAGTACCCTCTCCACATAGTCTGTATCACTTGTATCTATCATTCCGAAGTCTTTGCTCCTCAGAAATAAGATGTTTATTTTAGTATTCAAATCTCATTTGGAAATTAACTCTGCTGCCCCAGCTTCCGACTGTCTCCTGTTTTGTGAATTCTAATGTGTCTTTACTCCAGGGCATTAGTGACACGCTATAAACTGCTGGCATTTGTAGAGTACTTAGCCATGATACCAGTGAATCAAGACGACTTTTTAGCCATGCTTAGGTTTTAAATCTCTACCTCACTAACCTTGTGTCTTAGCCATTAGTAACGTATAATTGAAATCTTAATTCTCACTGACTTGGGCAGAGTTAAACCACTTCAGGAAACAATAATGCTGGCTGACATGCATGACCTTTTTGATTAAAATAACTTGTCACTTTTACAAAATGCCCCTTCCATATCTCATTAGCAGCTTCAGAGACTCCAATCTTCAGCAAACAACATTTCTTTCAGGAGATGCCTGGTATATCTGCTTTCCCATTGGAGGTGTTACTGGAATAATACAGTGTTTATCTAAATGCCATTACCATGAAGAACTCTCGCTTCTATAACGAAACGAATCGAAAACTTAACAGTAATTGTACAAGCAAACCCAAGGTTATGAAAAGTTTATATGAAGATCAAATTCAAATATATTCCCAATTTATTAAGAGCTCTCTTTATATCCAGAGGCTCACAAACTAATGAGACCAGTCACTGTCTAATACCTGGATTCTGATGTTGACTACCAATTCTGCAGATGCTTGTAGGAGAAAATCAGATGACATTTAAGTCCATGGAGCGAAGGGAAACAACAGTCAGAAGCACCAGCTATGCTCTCTGCTCAGGATTCACCGCCACGCTCGCCTTCTGCATTCAACCACAGCTGGGTTCAGGGGGTTTAAGGAGGACGCAAACCTCATTCCGTACAGCAGCTCTATGTACGAAATGAGCTTTCTAAAAGCATGGGGGCAGTTAGGATCATAGCTCAGTCCACAGCACAAGTGAAGAGCAAAGCGATGTCCTGCAATGGGATTTTATTTTTTAATCACATTTCTATTTGGTCCTAGCCAGTGACTAGCTTCACAAATAGAAACCAAAGAAATGGCTAGAGGAGTAATTCTCTCCACTGCTGGGAGACAGAGACAAGGATCTGTGCCCTGAGAATATTTAGGTGCTAACAGAGCTAAAGATTTTCCAGTCACTCAGATGATTAGCAAAGCCATAGATGTCTTTGGAACATTCCTTTCGTGAATGAGATAAATAGGCCCAAAAAGTATGATGCACCCACACCCAACACACTGTGGTGTGAAATCAGAGCACGAAAATTAAATAATAAATGACATCATCTTGCCAACATCTATAAAACAAAACTTTAAATTATTTTTTGCCACTTAAATATTTTCAATGGTATTAACATTTTCAAAAAGCATTTTTGGACATGAAGTGTTACCCAAATAAGAACTGGTTTCTGACCCTTCTATCCTTCTTAAAGAACAAAACAAAGGAAAAAAAAAAATAAGGTCTGGTGTGGTAGCACATGCCTGTAATCCCAGCACTTGGGAAGCAGGAGGATAGCCTACAAGTTCAAGGTCAGCCTGGGCCACATAGTGAGTTCAGGGCCAGCTTGGGCTACATAGTAAGTTCAAAGCCAGTCTGAACTACATAGTGAGACTCTGTCTCAAAAAACAAAACAAGAACAATAAGATAAATAAAGTACGTGAAGAAATTATGAGGCATTATTAAAACTATAGTTGCCATTTAAATTTTTAAAAATTTTATTACAGTGAATGACACACTAACCTTAATCCCCCCTCAAAATACCAGTCCTCACCTCCAACACACTGATCCCATTATTCTTGCCCCTTTCTGAAGCAGTTCTGGAAGACCTCTTTCCTGGGTGTCTTTAGTCCAGCCATTTTGAATCAGTTAAGAATGTCTACCTTCCACTGTCATTTCAGGGATGACTTCAGGGATGACTTCAGGGATGAGGAAGAAATACCAGACCTAACAAATAAGGCAGGAGAGGGCATGCCTGCGTTTCCCTGGGTGCTGTCTGGCAATGCCACTCACTGTGTCTGTGTCACCCATGATACAGAGAAGAGAACTTTTAGAACTGCTTCAGGAAGTGGCAGGAAGAACAGGTTCCTAAGTCCAAAGGCTGAGGGGCCTGGCGCGCATTCATGGCAAGGTGTCTTCACTGTAATAAAAGTTTTTATTTGACGTTCACCCTCTATTTGGATCACACTGTGTGCTGTGATATTAGGCAACGGAATCAAGCATGACTGCTCTGAATCTGTACTTTAAAGAGAGAGTTACATCTGTTTTTTGTTTTGTTTTTTCCCAGGTTTACCTCCTTAGGAAAGGTGGGGATCCAGATGATTCTTTAAATCTTTACTTAAATGCAACGATCCTTCAAACCTATAGGATAAAGTTCCAATCAGTTGCATACATACCCTTTGTCATAAAATTTTTAAGTACAAAATTGTCACCAATAATTCAGGAAACAGTCCATATCTGCTTAACTCGGAAATGAATTGGAATGATGAATACTGAACCCTAAAATTTATTGACAACAGAGTCTGCTCGGTAGAAGCAAATCAACCAGTTGAAAACAAGGTTTAACAACACACACGTAGATGCCCACAATGTGTTTTTAATGTCTATTCACCCATAAATAAACACGTACCTATCAATACAAGCCTTGAAATTTAAAAACAAAAGCAAACAAAAAGCACCTCAGTACTATTTTTCATTTTGTTTTTGATTAAGTTGCTCAATAAAGCATTCCTTTTCTGGGAGACCATGATAAAGAGAGGCCACACACTTGACACATATACATCGCCCAGGTGGCTGCGGTGGGGCATTGCTGCTTTGACATTTGAATTTGCATTGCTATCATAGTAATGGTTGTTAACAAACTATACCCTATTTATATTCTGCCCCAAAACACGGTTTAATTGGCAGCTCTACAGTGATTTAAAATTGCAAATTCTCATGCATTTATAGACTCATAATTTAAGAGGGGAAGGGATACACATGCTGGTAATAAGTTTAAATTACACACTGAAAGACAAATTATTTGGAGGCCAGCAGGCTGCTGGTACTGTTAGCTTCAGTGTTACAAATGCAACATGAGAAAACCAAAGGAGTCAAAGTGCAACTGAACAAGTACTAAATTCAAGATCTTAGGTGATAATCCTCTAATGTGAACAATCAGAAAACACACAGTAATTCTTGAAGTCAAATTTTTAGAGTAA